TACTGAAGATCGGTTTTCATTTGCTGTTTTCTTTGTCCCACCTTCTCCTCAGCTCAGCCCAGGTGGGCTTCCTCTTACCCTCACTGTGTCAGCAGATCCATTTCCATTAAGATCGTCAGTGGCAAACTGGTAATTACAACCCAAATCCTTTTTTGGCAAATCCAGTTAACATTTTTTACTTCTCATCTTCATTGGGCTTCTCATTAGCATTGACTATTATTTTAGTCTCTTTCTTCTTTGTCTATTGTATGTTGCTAATCCAGATTTACCCTCTTTCTCTGGATGTTCCTTTTTTCCCTTTATCTCTTTCTTTATTAAAATTTCCAGGCATTTTTGTGTGTGCTACAAGGAAATACAAAAGAACTGTTTTATGTCAGTGTGCCAAGCATTCAGTTGTAGACATAAAATAATACAAAAGAAAAAGAAAAAAAAGAGGATTTATATAGTAGTGTTTTCGGCTGGGGATTTAGTATAGTGGTTCCGCCACCTGGCTTGGAAGTGCAAGATCCCAAGTTCAATCTCTGGTACCAAAAAATAAAAATAAAAATATATGTTTTTTTTTTTTTTTTTTTTTTTTTTTTTTTTTTTTTTGTTTTGGTACTGGGGATTGAACTCGGGTCTTTGTGCTTGCAAGGCAGGCCACCAAACCACTGAGATAAATCCCCAGCCCAAAAAATACATGTTTTATTGGGTACAAAGTTGTATTTGTCGTGCCTAGATCTAAATTATTTTCTCTTTGTACCTTCTTCATCTAGCACCTTTTACTGAGGTGTTTTACAGACAGTCTCCTTAAGAAAATAGTCTGCCTGTCTTTCTCCTTATTCCCTTCCTCCTTTCTAAGAATAGTCTCCTTTCTTGTCATCTGTTTAGATTCTACATATTCAGGAGAACATGCAGTGTTTGTCTTTCTGGGTCTGGCTGGTTTTGATGAACATGGTGGTCTTGCAAATAACAGAGTTTCTTTCTTATGGCTGAATAACACTCACTTGCTTATACCACATTTTCTTTATCCGTTCATCTTGATAGGCATCCAGGCCAGTTCCATGTCATGGCTGGTGTGAGTTTTGCCATAGTAAACATGAGTATGCAGGTGTATTCCACAGCATGCTGCAAGTATGTGCCAAAGAGGAGTATAGCTGGGTCATATGGTTTTGTATTTTTAATTTTTTGAGGAACCTCCATAGTGACTACTAATTTACATTCTCACCACAAGTATAGAAGTGTTCATTTTTCACTCACATCCTTGCTAACATATTGCTTTTGTGCTTTTGATGATGGCTATTCCTACTGGGGTGAGATGGAATCACAGTGTAGTTTTGATTTGTATTTCCAAAATGGCTAAAGACGATGAACTTTTTTTTCCCTGGTATCAAAGATCAAACTCAGGACCTTGTGCTTGCAAGGCAGGTGCGGTGCCGGCCCCATTTTTACTTTTGAGAAATGTCTCTTCAGTTCATTTGTCCATTCATTGATTGGTCTATTAAATTTTCTAGTGTTAGGATTTTGGATTCTTTATATATTCTCGATATTAATCCTCTGTCAGAAGAATAGCTGGCAAAGCCTTTTCCCATTCTGTGGGATGTGTTTTCGTTCTGTTAGTTGTTTCTCTTGCTGTGCAGAAACTTTTAGTTGGATATACTCCCATTTTTTGATTCTTGCTACTTCCTGTGCTGAGTGCTATTTGGAAAGTCTTTGCCTGTGCTTATAGCTTCATGTGTTTCTCCCATGTTTTCTAATAGCATTTCTAAATTTAGATCTTATAAGTCTTTGATCCGATTTGATTTGATTTTTGTATGGGGTAATGATTTGATTTTTGTAAGAGGTAGGGCTGTAATTTTGGTCTTCAGCATATGGGTGGATATTCAGTTTTTCCAGCCCCAATTTTTTTTTTTTTGTACTAGGGATCGAACTCAGGACCTTGTACTTGCAAGGCAGGCAGCAGAACTCCAGCCCCCAGCACCACTTTTTAAACTCACACAAATCCCAGCCTGACCTCGAACTTGCAGTGATCCTTCTGCATTAGCTTACCAATTGTTGGTGTTACAGGCGTGTACCGCCACAGCTGGCTTCTATGTATAATTGTATGAAAAGCATGATTGAGGCCAGGGATTTAGCTCAGTGTTGGTATGCCCGCCTCACAAGAGAAAGGTCCTGAGTTCAATCACTGGTAATAGAAAGCGAGAGTGAGGCAGAGAGGTGTGGTGCAAACAATTTTAAAAAGGCTGGGGATGTAGATTGGAGCAAAGGCCCTGGTTCATTCCCCAGTATTAATTACACTTCCCGGAAATTCACTTGGCCTGTAGTTCATCCTTTTAAAATGTGCAATTTATTGGTTTTGAGTATACTCACAGATATGTGGAGCCATCACCACCATTTTAGAACATTTTCATTACTCCAAAAAGAAACTTCATGCTCTTTCTTAGGAGTCTCCCTCCTGAGCAACCAGCAGTGTAGTGTGTTGGTATAAATTGTTCTGTTCTAGACATTTCATATAAGTGGGCTTTTACAATATGTGATCTTTTGTAACTGAACTCTTCCACTTAGCATGGCTTCTGCTTTCACTCAAGTTACAGCAAGTATGAGTAGTGTCTTTTCATGGACGAATATTCTATTACATACCGAGTTCTTTTTTGTTTTGTTTTTTGAGACAGGGTCTCACTATGTATTCAGACTGGCCTTGAACTCAATATGTAGCCCAGGCTGGCCTTAAATTTGCAGTGATCCTCCTGCCTCAGTTTCTGGAGTGTTGGATTACAGGCATGCACCACTCCACCCTGCCAGTCACATTTTATTGATAATTCAGCTCTTGGTTATTTCATTTTTTGATTATGAATAATGCTGCTATAAACATTCTTCTAGAAGTATTTGTGTGAACATATGTTTTCATTTACTTGGTTGTATAAATATAAGTAGAATCGCTACATCTCATAGGTTTTTATTTTGGTACCAGGACCTTGCGCTTGTTTGGCAGGCGGTGGCACTACTGAGCTAAATCCCCAGCCTTACATGTTAAAGTTAATTCCATGTTTAATCATTTGATGAACTGCCAGAATATTTCCAAAGCATTTGTAGCAGTTTACATTCCCACCAGGTTTCTCATTTCTCCATATCCTTGTCAATATCTGTTTTGTTTATTGTTTTTGAGGTGAGGCTTTACTGTGTGGGTTTAAACTCACTGTTGAGCTCAGGTTGGTCTTTAACTCACGGGATCCTCCTGATTACAGGCATGTGCTACCTGCCTAGCTTTTGATGAATGATATCAAACATCTTTCGTGTACTTATTTGCTGTTTATATTTTATCTTGGGAGAAATGTTTAGTATTTTAGATGATTTTCTCATTTTTAAAATTGGGCTCTTTTGTATCTTTGAATTGCAAGAATTCTTTATTATTGTGGATGCCAGTTCCTCTTGCAGATATTTTTCTTCCATTGTGTAAATTTTTTTTTCGCTTTCTTGGTGGTGTTCTTTAGAGCACAAAAGTTCTTTTCGTTTTCCAGTATGAGAATCGAGCTCAGGACCTTCTGCTTGCTAGGCAGGCACAGCGCCTCTGGGCTACATCCTTGGCTGCCTAATTTTCTTTTCTTTTCTGAGAGTTTTACAGCATTGGCTTTTTCATTTAGTTAGATCTTTGATCATTTTGACTTAACTTTTTTTTGTACAATGTAATGTACTAACTTCCTTCTTTTGCCTGTGGCAATTCAGTTCCCTAGTACCATTTGCTGAGCAGACAGTTCTCTTTATTGATGGTCTTGGCATCCTTCTTGAAAATCCCATTCCTGAAGCGGAGATTGGGGATTGAACCCATGCTCTTCACACTGAGCTATATATCCTCAGCAAGACTTCACTCCTTTTTTGAAACAGATTTTTAATAAGTCATTAAGTCACCTAACCTGGTCTTGAACTTGAAGTCCTTCTGCCTCAGCCTCCCAGAGTGTTGAGGTTACAGGTGTGCATAACTGAGCCTAGTTTAGGTTTACATTTTTTATTATTATTTATTTGTTTGTTTGTTTATTTATTTATTTAGGTACCAGGGATTGAACTTGGTCCTTGTGCTTTCGAGGCAGGCAGCGTTACCACTGAGCTAAATCTCTGGCCCTATGTTTACATTTTTTAAATAGAGGAACTATAATTTAGCTTTCTTAATGTTTGGATTACTTTCCACAAATAATAATGTTGTAAAAGAATATTGTTCATTTTTAAGTAGCTTTTGAGGCATCTCTATATAATTTTAGCACTACATCAGATATCAACTAGAAACTCAACCTGGAAATACAGAACATAAAACATCTCTTCTAATCATAAGTATTACTTGGAAAGCCATGTTTCTTTCATTGATGGTAACATTTTGGCTTCTGTAACGTTGGTGCTTCTTCAATGCCAGTTGCTATACTGTTACAGGACTTTTGAGAAGAAGTAATGACCATCTCATTCTGACGTCGCTAGTGGTTTATAAGATGTTGGGAACATTGAGAGAGAATAAAATGACATGGCAGTACCCACATGGCTTTTTTGGTTTTTGGGAGGGTTCTACAGAAGTGGTATTTTTTCAATATATGTAGGTTGTACAGTTATTTTTTCCTAGTACGCTGTTTTTAGTATTGCCTTTTTAAAAAAGCACTTGCTTTTTTATGTTTGAAAGTATTAGTATTGTTATGTGCTTGTGGTAAAATGAAGCGTTTCCTTAAGACCAAAATTCTTCAGTTGAAATTATTTACTCCAGACCTCTGAATTAAGTTATGAGTACTGCAAATGTTGCTGTTAATAGATGAATGATAGACTATTGAGTAACTTAATACTTTTATAAAGCATTTTGTAAAGTTCTAGTAAAGTCCATTATTGAATAGAAAGTTGCTATTACTAATTAAATAATAACATCACATTCCTTCAGTGCTTTTGCTTTTTTGTATTGGGATCATTTTTATGTAATTAGAAGCATTTTCCAGTATTGAACTGTGCTTCCTTCACATTACTTTGTATAACTTCATGTCCCTTTTCTTTAGGAATCTCAGCAGTCCAGTTTTGGCCCTGGAGAACAAAGTGAGTATTTGCTTTCCATTTGGTTTTCAAATTAATTTATTAATTGAACGTATGGGCTCCGCTTTAGATTACACTTTAGTAATTCTTTTTTGTGTCTTATAGTTATGCGACCTGATAAGTAGTAATTTCTTCTTTAAAAAATAGAGCTGTGAGTTTATTAGAGATCAAAATAAACTTTTATTTTATTTTTTGATACTGGGGATTGAACTCAGACCTTGCACTTGTGAAACAGGTGGTGGCATCACTGAGCTAAATCCTTGGCCCCAAAATAAACTATTTTAGTTTGAAGTAATAGTTGAAAATCTATAAATTCAGCCTGATGGGCGTCTCATAAATTCAAGAGCCTTGCTTCTGTCTTTCCACTCCTTGAAGATGATTTGGTTCTGTTATGGTCAAACAGGCAAGAACAGGTTACTTTAGCTGACCATGGCTCTGGTCTTGCTGTGTCTATGTCATCCCTGTTCTTCCTGAGTCTTACGGTCTAGGTAGAAATCTGCAGTCTTCTACAACCCTACTTTGACCCCAGCTCTTGACCAGTTAGAAGAAATTCCAAGAATTCATAGGTGATCACAAGAGATGTGTGGATTGGTAGTACTGAGGTCAGGAACCATTGCTTATGCCTGCACTTTATAAAGCTCTATAACAAAGCAGTTACTTTTGCCAAGAGAAATGACTTCATAAATAACATAGATTTGTACTGCTTTTAAGGTGTTTTGAGAGATGAAAATGAATTTTTTTGATCCTTCGCTAGCTATTGTTGGTGATCTTAATGCAAAGATACGAAACTAGCATGTTTTGCTTAATGTTAAACTTTCTATATCTGTATATCCATTTTAGTTCTGCCTTGTAAAAGGAAAAATGGACCTGACCTTGTTGATATGTACAAAATAGCGAGCTATAGACCAGAAGCTTTACATTTTGCTCTTTTAAGAATGTGTCATCTTTGCTTCGCTGTGTAATTCTCTGCCCCCAATGCTAACTCTGGCAAAGAGGATCACAAGCTGAATCTACTCTTTGTTATCTTGTTTTATTCACTTTATTTTAAAATTGTACCACTGTCTGTATAAAGCTCTGTTCATTCGTTCTGATACTAAAATTGTGTTATATGAAAGGATCCTAATTTATTAAACTGATTGTCTATTGAAGAACATTTATTTTCAGCTTTTGCTGTTAAAACCATTCCTCTGTATGGGTTAGTGTTTGTTCCTCCATTTGTTTTGTTGAAATAGGTCAGTAGCAGAATAGGTATAGCATCGATGAGATAAGATGACCAGATTGTCCTCCAAAAACACTGCATGAGTTTATAGGCCTACCAGCAGCACACAGGCATGCCTGTTTTCCTCATACTCATCGTGTCGTGATATTGGACTTCAGTGTGTTGCCAAGTTAATGGTTGTGGAATTAACATGTCGTTTCAATTTATATTTCTTTGAGGGTAGATATTTTGATTGATGTTTTATAATGTGAATAGCCAACTTCACTTGCTTATTTCAGCCTTCTTTTTGTTCTAGAAAGATACAATCCTGCTAAATCTTCAAATGGCCACCAGTCTAAATCGTAAGTTTATTGCTTAATAAGTTTGTTTTGCTGAAAGCTATCTGTATTATCTCAATGTTTTGAATAGTAATTAGCAATATTCATCTTTTGTGTGGGGAGGGCATTGAGGATTGATCTCAGGGCCTTAAGCATGCTAAGGCATATACTTTATCACTGAGTTGCATCTATGGGCAGAAATTCCAATCCTTTAAGGCAGGAGTAGGCAAAATTTTATGTAAAGGGCCAGATAATGAAAATTTTTAGGTTTTTCACAGCTATATGGTCTCTGTCCTGTGTACTCAGTTCTGTCATTATACTATAAAAACTGCCATAATTTGTGATTATGGGTGTATCCCAGTAAAGCTTTCTTCCCCCTGTCCCCTTGGTACCAGGGATCACACTCAGGACCTTGTGTTTGCAAGGTAAGCGCCAGTAAAGCTTTTTTTACAGAACAGTGGTGGGCTAGATTTGGCTTGTGGCCATAATTTGCCTACCCCTGCAGGGAGATCACCATTTTTTTCTTTTAAGACATGGTCTCACTAAGTTGCTCAGACTGGGCTTGAACTTGAGATCCTCTCACCTCCCAGGTAGCTGAGGTTGCATGCATGTTGCATCATTCCTGGCTAAATTTTCCTATTTTTATTTCGTAGGCCGAACCAGGAATATATATCAAAATATAATAAGGGGTGGGGGTGGTGGTACATGCCTGTAATCCTAATTAATTGGGAGGATGAGGCCGAAGGATCGCAAGTTGGAGGCTGGTGAGGGCAACTTAGTGAGACCTTGTCTCAAAATGAAAAAGAGCTGGGTATATAATTCTGTGCTAAGGGCCAGGGATGTATCTCAGTGGCGCTGCCACTGCCTGACCAGCACAAGGGCCTAAGTTGAATTTCCAGTACCAAGGAAAAACAAATAAACAAACTGAATAATTCTGTGCTGCCTGGGTTCCATCCCCATCATTCCAAGAAATAAGAATAATAAAAAATAATAGGGTGGTATATTGGATTGTAATAAATTCCAGCTTAAGGAGTGAAGGTGTGAACTCTTGAAACCACAGGTTAACTCAGCTTTAAAGCCATGAATGCCCAGCATAAGAAAGAATTGGAAACAATAAATGCCCACAGTAAGAAAGAAATGGAATCCATAGGGCAGATTTGAGCAGCTATCTAGGAGATTAAAAACTCCATTGAGAGTGTTCGCAACAGAATAAAAGTGTCCGAAGGTAGGCTCTCAGATATAGAAGATAAAATTGCAGTCAGTGACAGTGAAAAGAGAGGTCTCTGAAAAACAGTAGGGGATTATGAGAAATTGATCGAACAACTCATAGATGATGCAAAGAAGAATAACATAAGACTGATAGGAATCCAAGAAGTAGCAGAAGAAAATGCAAATGACTTTAAAAAGCTGTTCACAAAATTAATTATAGAAAACTTCCCAAACAGAGGGGAAGAATTTGACATACACAAAAGTGAGGCATATAGGACTCCAACTAGCCGGAAACAAAAAAAATCTACACCTAGACATATAATAATCAAGATCCTAGAAACCCAACAGAAAAACAAAATACTACAAGCAGTAAGAGATAAGAAACAAATCACGTGCAAAGGAAAGCCCATCAGAATCACAGCAGATTTTTCAATACAAACCCTTAGGTTAAGGAGAGCCTGAAATGAGACATTTCAAGTACTAAAAGAAAATAACCTCCAACCTAGACTGATGTATCCTGCAAAACTCTCTTTCAAAATGCATGGGGAAATAAGATACTTCCATGACAAAGAACACCTGAGAAACTTCATGAATACCAAACCAGCACTACAAGGAATTCTAAACAAGATCCTAGGAAAAGACAATGAAGGTCACAATACTATGAGGCCCTACAGAGCAAATCAAATAGGCAAGGTAAGGAACTAAAAGGAGAAGGTGAAAAAAATATGCTAATAATAAGTAAGCACATGTCAGTTATAACCATCAATATCCATGGCCTCAATTCACCAATCAAGAGAAATAGACTGGCAGAATGGATTGAGAAGCAAAATCCAAGAATATGTTGTATGCAAGACTCACGTAGTGCAAAAAGAAGCCCATAGACTGAAAGTGAAAGAACAGAAAACTTCTTCATGCAACAGGAGCCCAGCAAAAAGCAGGGGTAGCAATCTTATTCACAGACAAAGTAAATTTCAAACCTGAACTGATTAAAAGAGACAAAGAAGGCCACTACATCCTTGTGAAGGGAACAATTCAAGAGAAAGAGATAAAAAATAATTCATTTTCAATCTATTGAGTATGTTAGAAAGCAAATATGCTCCTTTTCTCTTTTTTTTTTCTTTTTTCTTTTTCTTCCCCTGGTGCAGGGGATTAAACTCAGCACACTGTTCTGGCTAGGCAGGTGCACCACTACTGAGCTAAATCTCAGGCTTTACATATCATATTTTAGAAATTTACCAACACATTAATCTTTGTCTTTATGTGTTGGTCTACCAAATTGATGAGTTATTTTGGTTCTCATTTTCTTTGATTCTCTATTTGAGAATTTATGAAATCTGTATTTATGAGTAGTATGAAAAGCCTTAAGGTGCACCCATCATTCTCCTCTCATCTCTGCCTTCTGCCAACTTCCTTTTCTGTCAGTACAGTTTGGTTGGTTGGAAATTTGTTAAGATAAATTTTGTTAGGTTATCAGTATATCTTTGTACCTATTTTCTACTGATAATGAATATTAATTTTTAAGTAAATTTTATCATGAGTATACGTAAATAAAGGGATAATAAATCATTAATATCATTCAGTATCTGGTACATATTACAAATTCTCCAACTGCCTCAAAGTTGATGTTTGTTTCTCTCAAATCACACAAATCACAAACATTCCACACATCACTGCACTGTTTTATTATACCTAAGTATATATTGTATCGTAGAATATATGCATTGTGTATATGTGGGGGGGGATGTTTTTACACATATGTGTGCACTCTTAAATGAGAAACATGGTCATGAATGTGGTAGGATTTTGCACATTTGTCATATCGATAGTTTCTCTGGCAAACGTATGATTTCTCTAAATTAGATGCTTGATTTAATTCATAGTCATTTGTTTGGGAAGAATATTACATATGTGTTGGTGTTAAATTCTATCATTATGCTTATCAAAATATAATAAAAATAAATATGGGGTATAATAAAAAAGAAACAGAAAAATCTGATCTTAAAAATGTGAACTCTTGTAGTTTTTGGATTTCAGATATAAATATATTTCTTTTCTGTGGGAAGTTTTGTTAGAAAATGTAAGTGATACAATCAACAAGTATATGATACTTATCAAATTAATAAAACCAAGGAGTTTATAAATCATAAAATTTTGAGGATAGTTTCTCAACAATATGTAACTTTGTTTTATTTGTTAATACAGTATTTCCAAAATATATGAAAAGAAAATGAGAAAGAACATATAGTGCTTGAAGATCATATCAAACTAATAATGTATTTGGATTATCAGTCTGTGTTGCATAAATTTTTGTTTATTTTATATCCTTTTTGCAGTCCTATGTATGTATATTTGAAATTTTTATTTAACATCTTCATTTTTTTGTTGTCATGTATGTTTGCAATCTTTAATTTAAAAAAATAGGATAGTATATTGGATGGTAATAAATTCCAGTTTAAGGAAGGTGTGAACTCTTGAACCACAGGTTAACTCAACTTTTAAAGCAAGATTCTAAAGAAACTGTGACTGGACAGAAGAGCGAAGCAGAGGAGGGGAAGTTAAAAGAATTAAGTTGTATTGTGTACATGTAGCAGCTCCCCATGGTGAATGTAACCAGTATGTTCTACAAACATGTACTAACAATAAAAACCTCGTGGCCATAGTGCCAGTTTATTATGCTATAATCACAGATTATACTGATTATCTTCAACTGGTAGCCTCTTAAGTTGAACAAGGGAGGACTAAGTGAGAATGAAAATACATAAGAAGCTTCCCCCTGGACTAGGGATATAGCTCAGTGGCAAATTCCTTGCCTAGCACACAGAAGGTCCAGAATTCAAACCCCCGCACCACACACAGAAAAAGAAAAAACAAAACAGAAAGAAGCTTTCTCCTTCGCTGCTGAAGAATTTGAATTATATTTTTATTTATCATATTATGTCAAAGAACTGATGCATGCCTACCGCATCACTTTGATTGCTAAGGGGGAGAACAGTAGCATGCAGGACACTGAGCAGTCTAGTAAAAGCTTTGACATACTATATTTATATATGTAAATAGTTTCAATGAGCTGCCATTATTAAATCATAAGGGCAGAGAATTCCAAATAAGTACATTTCCTTACAGGAATCAGTCATAGAGATGTACTAAACCCTTCTCCAAGACGAAACTGTCCAGGCATAGTGGCACACACCTGTAATCCCAGCATTTGTTGAGGCCAGGTCAAGAGGATCGCCATAATTTCAAAGACAGCCTGGGCTACATAGTGATACCATATCTCAAAAAACAAACAGACAAACAAACAAACAAAAAAACCCTACTAAAAACAAAACTCTCTTTTCCACCCCCTTTGATTAAGCCAATCTTATAACTTTTCCTTATTATATAATCATATGGTTAATTTATTTCAAGGGGATATTTTGTATAATAATTTGAACTTTGAGTCAGACTTCAAAAAGTAGATTGAGCTTTTGAGGGAAAAGTACAAGTAGTTACTGGAATGAAAGATTTCCAAACCCACTGATGGGAGATGTAAAAAATGTAAAATCTACTGGTAATGAGAAGTTTAAACATTTTTCAAATGCAATTCTCCCTAAACTTTGTGTTGATTTTTTTCTTTCATGAAAAGGACAGTGTTTTGTAGATTGTAATGCAGATTTAAGGTTTAATGGTTTTCATTTTATGGCCTTAAAAAAAACTTACATTTTAAATTTTACTTTTCAAAGCAAAATTCCAGAAAATAATCAGCTTGTGATATTTATGTGTATTTTTAAAAACTAATTTGATGTTTGATCAAGGAAGATTTGGAGCCTGGAGATTTAAAAATTCATACCTGGTCCTTTGTGGTGCTTACAAAGAGAGCATTTGTCCTTCATACTAAGGCATTTGTTGATATAGGAAATTGTGTTCTTCTGTTTTTCACAGTTATTCCATTGCCAATGATTGTAATGTATCTCTCGTTGGGCACATTGAGAACAAATGGATTTGCTTGATGCTTGCATTTTATCTTGCTTTATTTAGGAGTTATATTTCTCTAGTGGAATGTTGGGTACGGTATAGCTGTGTTAATTTGTTGTAATGGTGATATAATGGGTATTTGCATGCATTTAGAGAAACTTGGTGATAACAGAAGTGAATAGGAAGGTTTATAGGAAATAGCTTAGGTTTAATTGGAAAAAAAGGTGACTTTTTTACCCATGACAGTTTAGAGCTTATGAAGTGATTAAATTCTTTTCTCGGTTTTCTGTTTGTTGGTTTGTTTTTCACTTAAATCTTTGGCCATCACAGTGATTATTTCTAGTATTAGTCATAGATATTAATACTTTAGCATGCCATGATAAACTATTCCAAAAATCATAATCCTTTCTACTTTTTCTCTCTAGTATGTTAAAAGATGACTTAAAACTAAGCAGCAGTGAAGACAGTGATGGAGAACAGGTATGTCTACTAAATCATTTCCCCTTCTCATACAGTATTTATTTGTATTTTACTTTATAAAAGAATAATAACGTTTATGAGCCAGTTGTTTGAAATATGTTCTTTTCATAAATTTCCTGACACTGGAATGTTGTAGTTTTCTCACATTGTGCATAAACTTTTATCTTTTTCATTGTTTTTTCTGTTTTTTTGGTGCTGGGGATCAAACTCTAGAGCTTGCACTTGCAAAACAGGTGGCAGCACCACTGAGCTACATCCCTGGCCCTTCGTTGTTTTTTTCTCTAATATTTAGTATGAGTCAGAACATATTCATGAAGAAGGAAATTATTGACAAATACTAACAAATATTTTTAATGTAGGTGATGAAATCATTAGGTAAAAACACTATATTAAGGAAATAATCCTTATGTTAGCAGTTTTTTGTTTGTGTTTTTGTTTTTGTGGTACTGGGGATTAAACTCCAGACTTTGTGTTTGCGAGGCAGGCACTGTGCCACTGAGCTAAATCCCTGGCCCAACAAATTTTTAGTTAAAGAGTTCAGATACTATTCACATTAAACAAATAGAGTACTATTTGCTCATTCACAGATTTTCTTCTTGTGTTTTAATTTTAGGATTGTGATAAAACAATGCCAAGAAGTACACCAGGAAGGTGGGCATCTTTTTATTTTGTTTTATTTGGAGAGGTAAGGTCAGCCTGATCAACATTGTTAATGTTATGATAAATGGCCTTATAAAGTAAATATTGGCAATTGTGATGGTGGTTTTAGAATTCTATAAATTAATACTTAAAACTAGGTGTTAAATCATAAATTAGACCTTTAAACTGAGTGAATTTATGATATGTGAATTAGACCTCACACTTTTAAAATTGGGAGTGTTAATAGCAGAGTAGCACATCAGACACTTGTTTAGGAAAGTGTTGATTTCATGGATAACGAAGTTCTAGGCTAATTAAATTGTAATAGCTTAGGCAGACATTGCAAATAAAGTTGGTTGTCAGATTTGGGTGATTTTCCTATTGTCACTGTAAAAGAAACTTTTCATCATTTATGTTTTACCTCCATTAGCAACTCTGAACCTTCACATCATAATAGCGAAGGAGCAGACAATTCCAGGGATGATTCTAGCAGCCATAGTGGATCTGAAAGCAGCTCTGGATCTGACTCAGAAAGTGAAAGTAGTTCCAGTGACAGCGAGGCCAATGAGCCGTCTCAGAGTGCCTCTCCTGAGGTAAGAGGGTTCTCAGGACCCTTAGCAGTATCTTGTGGAGACCTCTTGAGATGCAAAAAGTGAAGAAGGACAGAGGTTACATATTTTGACAAAAGACAGTTGAATTGTTAATCATTTTGGGGGGCGGTACCAGGGATCAAACTCAGCCTCTTGCACTTGTGAGGCAGGCGATAGAACCACTGAGCTAAGTCGTCCCTGGCTCTGAATTGTTTATCTTGAAAAAAAAAAACCTAAATACTTCATTTTCTTTATTATTTGAACAAATATTTTTCATAGATTGGTAACTACTTAAGGTCATATTATGGGTCAATAAAATAATAGATTGAAGGTTGGTAGCTGTCAGGATTGAACCCAGGGTTTCATGTGTAATAGACAAATACTTTACCACTGAGCTACATCCCCAGCTCCAAGTATTAGATTTCTTAAGCCTGGTCTTTTGTGTGTCTCCATGGAAGTTTATATTACATTGGTATTGTAAACAATATAAAATGAGTCATATAGTATAATTTTATTGTAGATTAAAATGTGGTTTAAAAAGTATTTTTTTCTCTGGGCATGGTGGTGCACGCCTGCAATCCCAGCACTTGGGAGGCTGAGGCAGGAGTATCACTGAGTCCAAGACCAGCCTGGACTACATAGTGAGTTCCAGGTCAGTCTCAGTCTCAACTCCATAATGAGACCCTGTCTCAAAAACAAAACAAAACAGTCTTTTTTTCTTTTTGCCAGTTTTGCTAGCACACACCTTTAATACCAGCATTTAGCCTGAGGCAGAAGGATTGCAAATTTGAGCCCAGCCTGGCTAGCTTAGTGACTTAGCAAGACCCTGCCTCAAAATGAAGGGAAAAAGTGGGCTAGAGATGTACCTCAGTGCCAGGCCTCTGGGTTCAAGCTCCTCCAGTAAGGGAAGAGGGACTTAAAAATCTCTCTTGGTGTGCCAGAGGTTTGGCTCAGTGGTTCTGGTATCTGCCTCGCAAGCACAGGGGCCCAAGATGGATCCCCAGTACCAAAAAAAAAAAAAAAAAAAATCTCTCTTGTTGCTTGATAATGCTTTTCAAATTGGATTCCAAACAGGGTTGTCTGCTATTTAAAGGCCATGTATAACAGTAAGCCTATCATCTTTATTTTATTTTGGTGCCAGAGATTGAACTTGGGACCTTGTGCTTGCAAAGCAGCGCGGAACCACTGATCTATATCTCCAGCCCAAGTCTGTCTTCTAATTCGAGTGATGAGAGCTGATAGTCTTTCACCCTGTGCTTCAGTCCAGTCAGAACCTTTAAAAGCAAATACTTTAATTGCACCCAAAATTATATTTTTCTTATTCCATGACATTATAAAGGAGAAAGCTTCAATATTAAAAGAAAATAAATATTTCTCTCTTTTTCAGCCTGAACCACCACCCACAAACAAGTGGCAACTCGATAACTGGTTGAATAAAGTAAACCCACATAAAGTTTCACCAGCTTCTTCTGTAGATAGTAACATTCCATCATCTCAAGGCTACAAAAAGGAAGGCCGAGAGCAGGTTACTGGGAATAGCTACACTGAGCCAGGTGGGCCTAAAGAAACCAGTTCTACTACTCCTGGACGAGACTCCAAAACCATCCAAAAGGGATCAGAAAGTGGGCGTGGGAGGCAGAAATCTCCTGCACAGAGTGATAGCACAACACAAAGGAGGACTGTAGGCAAAAAACAACCTAAAAAAGCTGAGAAGGCAGCTGCTGAAGAGCCTCGGGGAGGCCTGAAGATAGAAAGTGAAACCCCGGTAGACATGGCTGCCAGCATGCCCTCCAGCAGACACAAAGCAGCCACCAAAGGCTCAAGAAAACCTAATATAAAAAAGGAGTCCAAATCTTCCCCTCGGCCTACAGCAGAGAAAAAGAAATACAAGTCAACAAGTAAATCTTCCCAGAAATCAAGGGAAATCATAGAAACAGATACCTCGTCCTCAGATTCGGATGAAAGTGAAAGCCTTCCTCCTTCCTCACAAACTCCTAAGTACCCCGACAGCAACAGGACTCCTGTGAAACCCTCCTCTGTGGAGGAAGAAGATAGCTTTTTCCGGCAGCGAATGTTCTCTCCCATGGAAGAGAAGGAACTCCTTTCACCCCTCAGTGAGCCTGATGACAGGTATCCACTCATTGTGAAGATTGACCTGAATCTCTTGACAAGAATACCAGGAAAGCCTTACAAAGAAACAGAACCACCCAAGGGAGAAAAGAAAAATGTGCCAGAAAAGCACACAAGAGAGGCTCAGAAGCAAGCCTCGGAAAAAGTTTCTAACAAAGGAAAGAGGAAACATAAGGTTTGTAAAGATTGTTGTTGTTCATTTTGAAACATCTCTATCTGAAATGCTCCGGAAATTTCAGTGAGTAGGTCCTAAGTTATAAGAGAAAGTAGTGCAATGAACCCAAGGACCAGTTGAGACTACATGTAGGAGCAGACTCTTGGGGATTCTGTGCTGTCTCCGGTAGAGCAGAATAGTTTTTAACTAAGAAGCGAGCCAGCTCTGTTGACAGTATATGATGGCCAGAGTAGAGAAGAGGCATTTGCAACATTCTTAATTTGGTTTTGTGTGTTTCTAGTTGGGATATAACCAGTTTTTCTCTTCTATTATCCCCCGACCAAGTCACACTTTAAGATTACTGATTAAATCTGGCTAAAATGGTTAACTCACAATTTTGATACTCTTGAGAATTTCACCCACCCACTACACACATCTTTGCGTAGCTTTTTTTTTTTTTTTTTTTTTTTTTTTTTTCCAGAGAACCAACATGAGACCTTGCAGTTGCGAGGCAGCCACGGTGCCATGAACTACTTCCCCATCCCCTCTATGCCTAGCTTTTTTCCCTTAATGCTAGGTGCTCACAAACATCTGCTGGGGCTGGAGGCTTGGCTAGTGATAGAGCGCCTGCCCAGCATGTGTGAGGCTCTTGAGTCCTGAGTACCACAGTGGGGAGACCCTGCTGGACATCATAAGCGCTCATTCCTCAGTGCTTCCAAGATAACTTGGGGACAAACCTTGGTACATAGTTAAGGTTAGCTTTTTATAGGCCCAGGAAATAAGAAAACTCATGAATATTAAGATTTAAGGATAGTAGTCTTTTAAACATGCCGCGCTCAGTGGTGTGTGTCAGTAATCCCAAATAGGACTGAGGCAAAAGGAATAAAAATTTGAGGCCAGCCTGGATATTGTAGCCAGATCTGATCTCAAAAATAGTAATGAAATAAATATAAAATCCTCCCAATTCTTTAGGTTCGTGTGTGTGTGTGTGTGTGTGTGTGTGTGTATAATTCTCAAAAAGAAGTGCCTTTAAGTCAGATTTTGATTTTATAAAATGTATAACACCAGGAAACTTGATTATGATTTTTGAAACATGATTTTAATGAAGTGTCAGGGTCAGTTCATGAAGACAAAGCCAGTAGAACTGAGAAGAGACACAATGTAAGGCAATAAAAGTGGTGGATAGCATTTTCTCGCTTCTTCATTTGTCCATCTTTAATCATTTGTCCGGAGGAATGGACTCTTCTTAAGACAGAATATTTGTGTTCTTGTGCCTGGTATTTAGAGCAGTAGTAAAACTTAGATTCATCTACAACAGTCATATCAGTAATAGATCTACTGCTTTGGTTTTCAGCCAAAAAGATTTTTCAAACTCTTTGGGCTTAGCTGTAATGAAGAGGTGAAGCTATAATGCAGTGGAGATGTAGAAGGGTGGAAACTTCAGGACAGTGCTGGTCAGGATGTGAGCTAGTGCAGCTGCTCACATACAGTTTCATAGTTCCTCAAAAAGTTAACATGGAATGACTTTAAGTCTTAGTCACTTTCCTCACTGCTGAGACACAGTACCTGACAGCTGCAGTTTAAAGGAAGAAAGCTAAAAAGTCATCTCAAATGGCCGTGGACTGTTGAACAGATAACTAAAATGTCATATGTCCATTATTCAGCTGTAAGTGTGAAATACTGATCTATAACACAAGATTGGCCCTTACAGAAAATGTGCGCTAAGTGAAAGCAGCCAGACACAACAGGCCATGGGTGTGTGATTGTGTTTATATGTGACACCCAGAATCTATAAAGACAAAATGTGTAGATTAGTGCTTGGGTCTGTGGGGAGAAGAGAGTGGAGAAAGAATGCTGATGGGCATAGACTGTCGTTCTGGGGTGCTGGGATCGATTGAGGTCATGGTTCTGCTACTATGAATATACCAAGTGCTGTAGAATGTGTCCTTTCAAAGCTTGAGTAAGTTTATGGAATACCTTCTCCAAAATCATTACCTAAGAGAAAATGCCATCTAAAACTATAGGGAATCTGTTATATATCTGGAAATTCTGTGTATCTAAAATAGACCTTTCTCAGCCTTAAGACCTTCATTATTATGCACTGTTTGAGATGTTCTCCTTCTCATCTTATTTCTGAGGATTTATCAGGCGTAAACTGGGAACTAGTGCTCAAAGCAGAGGTTAGATGAAAAAAAATCAGACCCAGTAGCTGCTGTTTTCCATTTTCCATCCAGAATGAAGATGATAACCGAGCCAGTGAGACCAAAAAACCCAAAACAGAGGACAAGAACTCATCAGGCCACAAGCCATCCAGCAACAGAGAGTACGTCTCCGAAACATGTTGCCAGCCAGAGTTAATATGTGTCTGTCATTTGGTACTGGATGCTTTCTAACATGTTGTCACGGATACTACACGTGTGCTATGCTAAATAATGGGAGCTTTTGCATTTAGCCAGTGGGATTGGAAAGCATTTAAGATTTACTTTTTCCTTTCCACTTTAATAGGATAGAGGTGGATATGAGTAACAGTTAAAACTTTATCGCTTTCTGGGTAGATGGCAAGATTATCTCTAACTTACTGGAGACGTGTTGCTAACTTGTGAACGTTAATCTCTCTATCATTCATTTGTTTTCAGTCATTATTAAGGGCTAACTGTGTATGGCAGGTTACATTTTGAAACAGTGTACACCTGTGGAGAAAAAAGAGAGGAGGGATGAGGAAAAAGAAAAGATACCCACCAGCCCTTACCATATTCAGTCTCATTTCATTTTACAGTCAAATGTATCCTAGTAATCATATGGTGCAAATAAAATTTTTTTTGACAGTGAGTAAAGAGAAAGGAAAAAAATCCATCCTCCCCTATTACTGTGTGGAAGATGAAGGTGGCATTTATTGTATTTGACAGGTCATCTAAACAGAGTGCTGCAAAAGAAAAGGAATTGTTACCTTCACCTGCTGGCCCTGCACCTTCAAAAGACCACAAAGCAGAGCATGGCTCCCGGAAGAGGACTATTAGTCAGTCATCTTCCTTAAAGTCAAGCAGTAACAGCAGCAAGGAGAATAGTAGCAGCAGCAAGAACAGTTCCTCCGCATCAAAGCAGAAAAAGACTGAAGGGAAAACTTCCAGTAGCTCCAAGGAGGCTAAGGTACAATATCAGGGACTTGAGCTTTTCAAAAGCCTCTCTCCTTGTTCTGTGATTTCCTTAGGGTAACACTGTGCTTTGAAATTTTTGTAAACATCTCATAAAATTCATAGGCGTATACATTTTACTCATGCTGTGTGAGAATTTTGAAGATAAATGTATATAATCTAAGATCATGAAAGCAATGAGCAAGCTGTCCACATGCCTATTAATTCAGACAGAAACTTGGAAATGTAGGCCATGACGTTTTAAAAACAAGCACCAAATGATTCCAGTGCTTAGACTGAGTACGTGTGTATGGTTTGCAGTGGGCTCTTGATTTCTTGGAATTAGACTTTCCAAGCAAGTTACATCACGTAAGGTGACAAAGTAGCCACTTGACTCTGATTCTTTTTTTACTTTTTTTGGTACCATGGATCAAACTCAAGACCTTCTGCTTGCAAGGCAGGTGGCAGCACCACTGAGCTAAATCTCAGGCCCTTGACTTTGATTCCTGAAGCAGGAAAAAAAAAATTAGCTGAGCTAACTCTGAAATTATTACAGAATTATGTGCACAATATAGAAAAATATTCTTCATGTCTGTGGATGAAGATTTGGATCTCATCGGGAGCAAACAGTATGTTAGACAAAATTTTAAAAAAAAAATTTTTTTTTTTTGGTGTTTTGAGACAGGGTCTCACTGTGTAGTTGAGGCTGACCTGGAACTCACTGTGTAGCCCAGGCTGGTCTTGAACTCACAGCAATCCTCCTGCCTCAGCCTCCCGAGTGCTGGGATTACAGACGTGCATGCGCCATCATGCCCGGCAGAAATCCTTAAATTTTAAGACTATAATTCACTGGATTATTATTTGTGACTCGAGTGAGTAAAGTTTGAAACTTGAAAAATCAGACTGACAGAACTGTGATCCTTACTAAACATGGTAAATTTTTAAAATTGAGGTCGTTCACATTGTGACAAACTTCTCAAACAGAGATGTACAGAAGATGTACAGCCAGATGCCCTTCTGAAGTAATGTGGAGTATTGGCCTCATTTCCTGAGGACATTGCTCTGTTAGCTTTCTTCCCTGTTCCAGTTCACTGGCTCTTTCTCCATTTGCTATCCTCTAAAGTATAGGAGTTAAAAGGTCTCTGCAATTTTGTTGTTGTTTTTGGCGACAGGGTCTCTCTGTGTAGCACAGGCTGGCCTCAGACTAGCAGTGAGCCTCCTGCTTCAGCCTTCCAGGTGCTGGGACTTACAGGCATGCGGCATCATGCCCGTTGCTTATAATTGTTTCTTAAACCTTCTGGTGTTTTTTTTTTTTAAATGAAAATGCATTGATTGATTGATTGGTACTGGGGATCAAACTCACGAGCTTGTGATTGCAAGGCAGGTGGCAGAACCATGGCCCATTAAAATGTGTTTATTAACTGAGCTTATCTAGAACTGTATCTCATACATAGTTAAAGATCACTGTCTGAGGCTAGGGATTTAGCCTTGTGGCACTGTGCCTGCCTCACAAGCACAAGGTAGCAAGTTCGATTTCTAATACCTGGGGGGAAAATTATTTGTGTGTGTGTGTGTGTGTGCGCGCACACGCACACACACATACTCCCCTGTCTTTCTCTTCCTTATGAAGAAAGTTCCTTCAGTAAGTTTGTCCTTCCTGAAAACAGGTATTTCTCTGTCTGTTCTCCAGTGCTTAACATACTTACTAGGTAATTCGGAAATACTTGTTGGTTCAGATGGAGTCTTTGGCACTCTCTTCTTTTCAACAAAATATAAAATTTGCTTTTACCATTTTGATGTTAAGTGCTTATGATACTTGACAGTTATTAAACTTGTTAATGCTAGTCTTTGGCAGTTTTAATTTAGACAGTTACATGAGTTTGGTGAAGAAAAATCTGTGACTTAGGAAATAGGCTACTTTTTTTAATCAGCTAAAGAAAATTAACCTAGAAAAGCAAAATTGTATGTAATTTTTATAGGAGGAAAAGTATGTTGAAATATGTGGAAATTTTTTTTAGTTTCAAAATAACTTCAGTTTTCCTTAAGTAAATGTAAATATAGGCATTTTATAACATCAACTTTAACATAAAGAATTTAGCATTTCTCAAATTCTGTTTTCGTTTCTTAAAATAAACCTTAATATTGTACATGGACCTGAAAAGTTCTTACAAGACAGAAAAAAACTATTACATGGTCCCTTTTAAGGAGTTTTTAAGCAGAAATGTAAATGACACATTGTCAGGTTTTTCTCCTGTTGAAATACACATGTATTGGGGATACTTTATAGTATTTTACTGTAGGAAAATATACATTGGTCTTATTAAGGATAGGGCTGTATAGAAGGCATTTGGAAAGAGAGAGCCCTTGTATAATGAAATCCTTGATAAAAAGCAGAATAAAGTTTAAAAGTGGGTGAACTTTGAGAATCAGCAGATCAGATCATACATCAAGAGGTATGAACTTAGATAACTTACTTAACTAACCTCTTTAATGCTGCTTTTTTAAAAAATTCAGTATAATAATAATAATACCTATTTTTTAGAGTTGTTGAAGGGTGAACTATGCCAACTACTTAGTTAACTTAGTGCCTGATAAAGATTAAGTGCCCAGTAAATATTATAGCTGTTTTCATTTACCAGTAAATGTTTCCGTAAGTTCTACTGCTGTTTTAATATGGCTTGTGTCTTATATTTCCTTTTTTTTT